AATGTTTAAAGCCCAATAATTAAATTATTTGCCCTGAATCCAACATTTTGATACTTAAAAGATGTCTTGTAATGCATTATATATATATATATATATATAAAGTACTAGTAAACTATATTTTTTATTTATAAGCAACGTGGAATTAGACATTTCTTTATATAAAATACTAGTAAACTCTATTTTTTATTCTTAAATGATTTGAAATTTTTTTATTCCTCAATTTCGCTCATGTACCAATATAAGAATTAAAAATCCATCAAATAAAAACAAGAAATTAAGAACTTATCAAATGGAATGAAAACATAAATTTTAAGTTATGGTCCAGTATAGGTAAGAAATAATATTAAAAAATTTGAAGATAATATTTCGTTTTGAATAAATAAAAAAAAAAAAACTTGTATTGAAGTTGGTTCAATTGTTGCAAAATTACAACCCAATGTATGTAGAGCTTAACCAATACCGTTTAAATCTCTAGGGATGTGTGAAACTTTTGGGTTTGGCATAAGAAATGACAAAATATTTCATGGGTAGATAGTGGTTAGGACATTCGAAAGAGTTAGGGGCCTTGATTTGCAGATTTGGCATGAGTTTTGTGAAATTGGAGGAATAAAAAATTGTTCGGGAATATAAATGTAGGTGGGGTACATTTTTTTGAATTAATTTAGTTGAAAACCTATATTTTAATTAATAAAATTCTTTTTCACTAATCTTTGAAGATTATTATTGTCACAAATTTATTTATTTATTATTTATTTATTTATTATTTATTTCTTAAGTAGACTAATTGTGACAAAAATTTGTTACTTTTTCTAATATTCTTTTGTGACAAATCTTATATAACTTCATAAAATATAATTATTTGTTACAAGAAAATTTTGATATATATGACAAAATTAATTATGTATGATTAATATTTCATTAGTAACTAATAATTATTTTATTTTGTTAATTTTGACAAACACAAATTTATGTTGTTTATCATGAAGAATCTTTTTATGATTAGATGTAATTTTTGTGCCAAAAATGTATATTTTAACTTTAAATATCAATATTCATGACCGATATTTTAAATTAATCACAAAATATTAGTAACAAATTAAAAATCATCCATAAATTTACCACCATTAAAATGCAGGGTTTCAACAACATGAGAGTACGTCAATGAAAGTGTTGAACATGTTGAAAATAGTGTAGTAATGTGGAACATGTTAGTGAAATCTTTGTTGGAAATGCGCATGCCTTACTTGATAAAACATCACCGACAAGTTTTAACATGCTGCTTTATGGTCATTGGAGCTAGTCACTGAAAATATATACCATATTTAGCAACATATGTTGTAATATACCTCCCTTAGGTACCATTGGTCTTGTGGAAGTGCTTAACTAGAAAATTTAGAAAAAAATAATGTAGCGGCAAAAAAACACTTCTAAATTATAAAATGTATTCTTGTAAAAGAATTATGTTTGTATATCCTATAAAATATAACTAATGGAAGAAAAATACTTATGAATGGAAAACCAATTTACCAAAATATATTTTAAAGAGATATAAAATGCCCAAAATTATAAAATAACATAACCTGACCTTATTTTTCATTGATATATAGATTAAATATATAAAAATAATTTACACAAAAATACATGAAAGCAAATACTTTTCAAAAGTTTTCTAAAATAATAAAAGCAAAATCATGGTTTTGGTAACATATTGATCTGCCTTTTCGCATCAAAAGCACTAAGATTCTAGCTTCTATGTACAATGAGCATATGGGACTTATATCGAAAGCCCACAAGTTAGGTGGCTGCTACTCCAATCTACTAATTTGAAATGAGGGAAAATATTATGAGCTAAAAGCCCAATAAGTATTAAGTTAGAGCTACAAACTTGGGACATAAGATCTTTAGACCTACACACATGAAGAGCATAATGGACAATTAATTAAAGCAAGCCACATAATATTATAAATCTTAGTATTTAAATAATAAGTTAATATCACAAAGTTGTTCATAGTCAATCAAACATGTCTAGGAATATCCAATGACATTTGAATCAAATCCATATCATAAAACGATATACCCACAAATGGGATGTCACAAGCATAATGCATAAAACAAAAATCACACAATGGCATGGAGTCCACTGATATGTGCTAGCAACACTTGTACCGAAGCTAATCACGACACTCACCTTATTGTGCAAAGGTCCATTAAATACCCTGGATGGTCTATTGAATACCTCAAGCTTTAAGCTTAGTTCCATTTCATAGCCACAAACACATACAAATGTCAAACAAATTCAAAATAATATACGAATATTATTTCATTTAATATTTCACGTAATCAATTGAATATCCAAAGCAATCCACTTTATATATCCCAAGTCTAATTGTATATTTCACTAAAACAATAGTTAAAATTGATTTCTTATTTTAACAATGTAATTAATGCATGATTAGCCAACCAAAACTCAAGTGCACTAGTCACCGGCAACACCCAACTCCAATTAAGCTTAATCATAAAATTTTCAAAAGTCTTCACATAATTGTACAAAAAAATATCAAAACAACTATAGCAAGAAAATAACCAATAAAATTCACACATTATTTAAACATAAAACTAAAACCCACTTCAAACTCCAAAACTGTACATACACCCAAAATTCTAAATATTGATAAACAAAATTTTAAGACCCAAAAATCTCTTAAATAAAATATTTAAAGTTAAATTTCACTAACTGAAACTAATATTCAGTATATTATAGTAAAATCTATAATTTACCCAAAACTTTAACCTAAATCTATAGTTAAAACTCATACTTATAAAAATCAAAGCACCAAATTGAGACAAAACAGCAAAAATGGCAAAAAACTTCAACTAGAGAGTGCGTCCTCACATATCTTTAGCACAACACCTAGCTGGAAGAAGAAAGAAAGATGCAGGGAATGGGTTGGAAGAAGAAGAGATGTAGAGGAATAGTTGATTCGAGAGGCATTTATTTTAAGCCAAAGAAAATGATTTTACTTGGTAGATATAGTGCCACTGGCACAAAAAATTGGAATAATTGAGTTAAACACCCTTCAACTCTTACTAAATTCTACTTACAACCCTTAAACTCTAAATCTAATCAATTTAATCCCTAAAATTATAAAATAAAGGACTAATTTCTAATCTATTCACTAAAGTCTATGGGGTGTTACATATGTCATGTTGGTGAATGTGCTTATTTAGCAACATATGCCAATGTCACATCGATCAATGTCTACATTCACCAACGTAGCATACAATGCCAATTTAGGTGTGGGCCTCTATGCTTTATCAATTAGCAACATGTATCACGTTGATGATTTTCTAACTTCAAATTTTGAATGGAACTTTCTACTAAATTCACCAATAAGAGATATATATTGTTGTTTCATGCTTTTGCCAACATATAACACAATGCTATATTATTTTTACTTACAAAAAAAAAAAAAATTAAATTTTATAAATTCTTTCTGCCAATATTCTATACCCATATTCCTTAAACAACAATTCAATAAATTCCTAATTCCACCAACATTTTATTATATTAAAACCATTCCATCACCACTAACTTCAATTCCACTAGCATTTAAAAAAATTATTTACATTCATTCCATACATCTCAAACAATTTCATGCCATCATTACTCAAATAACATTAATGCTATAAAAGTATAAAATTGAATAACTATTTCTTTAATTATATTATCACATTTTTGTCCAAAATCAAAAGCATATTATGATACAAATATATATATATAACTATATGTATATATATATGTACATACATACACCTTTAAACGACTATTCTGAAAGTAATATGA